ATTTATTATCACTCTCTTCCTAGATTACTTACTCTATTCTACTGATTTAAAATTAACTCTACAATTCAAAAATATTTTACTTACTTTAACTCTTTATTTCTCTTCAATTTAATCATTTTTTGGTTTATAAGAATACATTTTGATTTAAGATTTGATTTTCTAAATCTTTTAGAAATAAAACATATTCAAAATATCAAGACTTATTAATAGATAAAAAATATTTAAACTAATATATTAGCATTAATAATTAATAAATTGTACTGATAAGTGATGATGTATAATAAGTAAATAAAATGAAAAATTGCAACCATCAGAAATTGCTTTATAAAACTTAACTTTAATTCAAATATGTGAAGGATGTAAGTTAGTTAATTTTAAGAAATCCATCAGTGTAATAAAATATTATTTATAAGTTAATTTTCAATAATTTTCTACTCAATTGATAGTTAAAGTTATTCGATCTCCAAATCTCAAGATAGTCTAATAAATTCTCTGAATGATAAATTTTACATCCTCCAAAAGAATTTCCAAACACAATCAGCTTTCATCATAATTTTTTAAGAAAGGTCTAGTCATCTAAAGTTTTTTATATTCCTTTTATTTTAACAAGGCCTAGTATACAAAATGATAAAATTATTTTTCTACATTATATGATATTTTAATCATCTAACTTAAGAGTGTTCATAATCGACCCTTGTTTTTTATAAGATTTTAAATTTCTAGTGACCAGGATTTAAAATTCTTTGGAATTGGTTGAGAAGAGAAAAACGTTTGAGGCTTTCAATTAAGTTGTTATCAATAGGTATCTAGTCTATATATTGTATTCCATAAAATTTTGGATTATTACAAGTTTACATATACTCAAAAATATTATATGGATTCATTTTTTAGAGTATAACTCAAGGTTCCAATTTAGGAAATGTATAAAGATTGAAGTGACGCTCTCCTTTTAACTTATACCAAAACAGACTTGTCTCCTGGTTTGAACCTTATTCTACTACTAATCTATTTTAATCTATTACTTAGACTAGCAAATTAATGTATCCAAACTGATCCTGCTAAAGCTTCGTAATTAGAGAAAATATCATAAAGCTCAGTTTGATAATTAGAAGGGTAAACTTCAGTATTTTAAAAGGTAGGAATATGAAATGTAAATTATTGTGTATAAAATTCTATAATAAATTTTTTGGATGGGTTATCATATTATATAGATTTGAAATTAAGAATAATTTTAAACTTATTTTTCTACAGTAATGTTCCTTTGAATCCAAACGGAAGTGGAGGATATTGATAATGATCTGTTTATATACATTTGATAATTAGATGTTAAGAGATTAATATTACTTTTTAAAACAAAATGTTTATCTTTAACATTATTTTCTTTAATTTTTATACCAGTAAAAGTTGCAGTTGATTAGATGCATTCATCAATTTAATTATATATCAAATTTTGATTTTTAATGTAATAATATTGGGGAAATTTAATAAGGTTCTTAAATATAGAATATGCATAATTTTAGCAGTTTAAAATCTTTATTATTCAACATCTTAAATCATATCCATGTAGCTTATAATTACATTAAAAGTATCTTTATCTAAAAAGGAAAAAATAATAAATCATAACGATATCATGTATTTATTTAGAGAATTGAGTTCGAAATGATAAGTTGTGAATATTAATTAAAAGGAAATTTTTAATCCAGTTTTTCCAATAATAATATTTTGAAAATTCTCCACAAATATTTCTAAACAATACAAATATCGTTTCGGTATTTGTTTTGTAAATTATTAAACTCCATTACTAATATCCTGAAAATATCTATATGATGATAAAAATCACACAATTAATTAATTATAAGTGAATTACTTTAATCCAAGTCTAGGTTTGATAATAAGACAATTGAATAATATTAAAAAAATCATGAAAATGCGATTAATTACTTTCTCAAATTTTTATAATGTTAAAAACTTATTAGTGGATAAGAATATTTAATTTATTAATATATTAAATTAATATATAATATGTAATAAAAAACTAAAATTATGGATGCCATTGTTTTGTGGAAAATATAATTTCAATAATTAAGATAATAAACAATCAAATAATAATAATAGTTTTCATGTATTTAATTTTGGATTATCTTAGGATTTAAAATATTTAGCAATTTTTGAGAAGATAATCAAAGGTAAGTACCATGCATAAAGGGGAACATTAGGATAAAACAAAATCAATTTTAGAACTATTTAAAATTAAAATATAAGCAATAATTATTGAAAGTAGTTTAAAATGTAATGACTTTTATTATACAAACTATCATATTTCTGGAGATTGTTGGGATAGTTATTTAATAAACGATATTTAAAAAAGCAACTTTAAAAATTTAGATGAATAATAATTTTTTATTTTTACAATGGATACAATTAATAGTTTATATTTATATGGAAAAATGAGAAAATGTTTCATGTCAATACAGAGTAGGTTGATATGCAGTAAGAAAAAGAAATTTACATTAAATTCGATTTTAAACTCATGTTATATTTCAAATCATTTTTATTCATGCTTGCCTTGATTAGCATAGAGTTATACGAATATATTAATTTATCTTGAAAATTGTAAAGTTATTAAATAAAGAAAAAAATAAATTGATATTAAATCATAATAAATCATTTTAAAAAACTACCTTATAATTGAAGAAGAGAATGCCCAAAGAAGAGAATATAGTGTTTGATTACTAAGCAGTGGTAAATTATTAAGAAGAATAAAATATCTATTTGGAAATTCTAGTTATGTTTAACACTGAATTTATAAACATGTATTTTGAAATATAGAAAATCCAATTAATCATTATTAAATTAAATTATTTGACTTCTAAAGGGGAACTTCTAAAGAAATTTAATATTTGATTAAATCATAATATAACAATAGTCATCAAATATCCAAGTAGTTGGTAAAATTAAATTACATGCTACACAATAAGATCAATCTAATACCTGAAATTATTAGATAAATGAATATTTATTTTTATCTGATTTATTTTTTCATAAACAATACCCTCTTGATTATACAATATTTTAACTATTTTACCAATCTTTTCAATTCTTATTAATATTCAATGTGAGAGAAAATATTAATTATCCTAATTTATCTTTACTATTTATCTGTAATTTTTAATACTTAGATATAAAGATTAAATAAACTCTTGCTATTTAGTTAAGATGAGACTATTAATGCTGCCCATTTTAAATTACAAATTGTAATACTATAAAATCTTTTCTAAAAATTTAAAGAAAATAAAATATGTCTGAACAAAAAAGAAATTAAAATAACTGTAAAAATCCTTGGTAAATTTCTTTATTTTATCTTCATAACTAAACAAAGAGTAGGATATGATGAATTATTATTAATTAATTGAAATTTCTAAATAAATTAACCAAAAATCATATCAGTTTAGACTGGGATGAAAAATAATTAATAAAAGAATTGAGATTTATAGTAATAAGCTGTAATTGTGATTATTATGCTTTAAGTGGTAGGTTATGGGTATAAGATATCATTTAGAAAGATGAAGAATTTTCTTATTATTTTATTAAAATAACAGCATATTTAGGATAAAAGCAAGTCTTCATAGAATAGTTAGCATTATTTCAATTGGTTTATTTAATTTCTACTATTTCATCAATAATAAAAATAATAAACTATAATTTTGATTTTCCTGTTGTCACACAAAAGAGATGTTAGATGATTCATAAAAAAATGAGACAATATTTTAGATTTAAAGGGATATTATAACATCATGGTATTAAGATTCAGAAGATAATGAAGTCAATTTACATTAAATTTTATGGTAATTATTAAAATAATATTTAATCTGAAGTTTAAGTAAGGCAATTTCATAAATTTAAATTTAAATTATGATATGAAAATATAATATAGGATAAATTAAATTATTTAAATATTGCAGTAAGAAATTTGTAATTTACTAATTTGCAAAAATGATGAAAGGATATAAAGTTTGTCTTGTTCAGTTGAGTCGCAAAGGAGATATCTACCTGAATTTAAGGAATGTATTTGTTCAAGTAAATACAATAGATTAAAATAATAAATGTATCACTTATGAAGATTCAAATCTTAAGTTAAAAAATTCAATAGAATATTTAAACAAAATACAAAAAGGGCTATATTAAATCAGAAGGAAATTGTATAAGATGGTCTATATAGATATTAATTAATAATATTTATTCCTTCAAGAGTAAAAGATGATTCTATTGCATGTTGTGAATGTTTTTAAAAAGTAAAGGATTAGGCTTAAGTTTCTATTTGTTAAACTATGCTTTAAATTCCTTAATGATTGTAGAATTTAAATACAATTATCTTAATTAATTCTTTATAGTATTATCATAATCAATCAGATTTAATAATATTTGAAAATTATTTATTAAGAAATGAGTATTTTTAAGAATTACAAAATTCAAATAGTATTTATTAGTTTTTTTTATAATCTATGAGTTTTAAGTCATTTAGCTTAAAGAAAATTGAATTTAATGATGAATAAAGATGTACAGTTTGTAATATCATTGATTATGTCAGATGTGGTATTGATATTATATAGAATTTT